CAGAATAAATTGCTGGAGGTGACAGAATAAATTGCTGAATAAATAAGATTAGGATATGTATTGCAACCTTAATAATGATTGTTCGTTTGATGGGTTATCCGAACGGTTTTATCATCGTTAAAATCGGACGAAGTAATAAGTGTGTGGGTTGTGTTTTTTCTCCCATCTCCGGAAGAGTTAAAAGATCACTCCTCGAAGTGTTAGAAAATATCATAGAAAAAACAACGATGAGAAAATTTTATCGAAGCTCACAAATTCACGCTAGAGCTCGAATTTTCACATTAGTGTATTCGGTTTCGTTGTCACTTCTTATTGCCTTTATTTATCTTCTCGTTTCATATTCAACAAAGGCTATGTTTTGAATTTCTCGAGAGCTTCACTCTTGTTTTCTATGAATAATACTTCACACCATCTAGAATAATCATCAATAAACGTGATGAAATATTTTGATCCACTCAATGATTCGGTTATCACTGTTCTACAAATGTCGGTATGAATCAGTTCTAATATTTCTCTGCTTCTCTTTTCGTTTCGGAAATGGTGATCTGGCTTGTTTGTCTCTTATGCAGATCTCCTAGCGGTCAAGTTCTTCTTTTCGTCCTATATTTAGTTCTCTGATTTTTAAGTTGTTGGCTATGTGGCACACATCCCTTTCATTAAAGTGACCTAAACATTCGTGCCACATTTTCATTTCGTTAACATTTGTTCGAGAGAGTTTAGATTCCTCCCACATTTCTTTCACATAGTATATCTCCATCCTTAAATGCTCGCACGTGTACGTTTTGGTTTTCGGATCCATAATAGTTGCCTGGTTATTTTGGAATATTATACTGAATCCAAGATCAGTTATCATTCCTACTGACAGTAGGATGGGATGATAATCCTATCAGTATATGTAGACGACATCCTGATAATTTCGCAAACTAGACACCTGAAAAAATTGGCAAAAGAACTTCTAAATAAACATTTTGACATTAAGTTGTTAGTACCTGTTTCTGAACTTGTTGGAGTAAATTCACAAGTCAGAAGTATTAACAGTATTACCTTAGACAAGGAAAACTATGTTGAAAAACTGCTAGAAAGGTTTAGTATGCTAGAAGCAAAAGAAATTACTACGCCGATGTAGTGTAGACCAGGTTTGAAAACAGAAGCTAATAACTCAGATCAGAACTTAGTCTATAGAGACCTAATATGGGATTAATGTATATATCGCAGAAACAGGCCAGACATCACATTTGCGGTTAACAAACTCGCACAGTACTGCAACAAAAACTCAAGAAAACATTGGAACGCAGTGGAAGCTTGCTGGGCCCATAACCGTTATTAGAAAAATGACGAAGCAGTCCTTTAACTTAGAACTAAACTTTATATTTTAACTAGCTACCCCGCCACGCGTTGTTGTGGCTCAAAATGTATCTATTATAAATGTATAAAACTTCCCCCGTGGGGGGAAAATTTTTCGAAAAATTTTTTCTTAGTGTACATTCTGTTGACGTACCCTATTAAAACGCAATCAAAAACGCAAAAACCCGCATCTAAAATAGTATAATAGAAGCCAAGTTTTTCACAGTAAGCCTTAATCCTGTCTCTCTCCCTTGCGGTGGAATATCGAAAAATTCCTTCTTAGTGTACATTCTGTTGACGTACCCTATTAAAACGCAATCAAAAACGCAAAATCCCGCATCTAAAATAATATAATAGAAGTCAAGTTCTTCACGGTAAGCCTTAATTCTGTCCCTTTCCCGCGGTGGAATATCGAAAAATTCCTTCTTAGTGTACATTCTGTTGACGTACCCTATTAAAACGCAATCAAAAACGCAAAAACCCGCATCTACAATAATATAATAGAAGCCAAGTTCTTCACGGTAAGCCTGAATTCTGTCCTTCTCCCCCGCGGGGGAATATCGAAAAATTCCTTCTTAGTGTACATTCTGTTGACGTACCCTATTAAAACGCAATCAAAAACGCAAAAACCCGCATCTACAATAATATAATAGAAGCCAAGTTCTTCACGGTAAGCCTGAATTCTGTCCTTCTCCCCCGCGGGGGAATATCGAAAAATTCCTTCTTAGTGTACATTCTGTTGACGTACCCTATTAAAACGCAATCAAAAACGCAAAAACCCGCATCTACAATAATATAATAGAAGCCAAGTTCTTCACGGTAAGCCTGAATTCTGTCCTTCTCCCCCGCGGGGGAATATCGAAAAATTCCTTCTTAGTGTACATTCTGTTGACGTACCCTATTAAAACGCAATCAAAAACGCAAAAACCCGCATCTAAAATAATATAATAGAAGCCAAGTTCTTCACGGTAAGCCTGAATTCTGTCCTTCTCCCCCGCGGGGGAATATCGAAAAATTCCTTCTTAGTGTACATTCTGTTGACGTACCCTATTAAAACGCAATCAAAAACGCAAAAACCCGCATCTAAAATAATATAATAGAAGCCAAGTTCTTCACAGTAAGCCTTAATTCTGTCCCTCTCCCCCGCGGGGGAATATCGAAAAATTCCTTCTTAGTGTACATTCTGTTGACGTACCCTATTAAAACGCAATCAAAAACGCAAAAAACCGCATCTAAAATAGTATAAATAGAAGCAGAGTTCTTTACGGTAAGCCTTAATCCTAACCATCTCCCTTCAGTGGGGGGAATTTCGACACGTATATTACAGTATATAAAAACACGTGCGTATTCGAATGCAGCGTTATGTCAAAATTTCAAAAGAATAGGTAGGAACAAACGAACATTACATTTTTATTTATATAAATAAATAGATGATCCGCTTTAGTTCATTTTCACAGAAAAGCATAATGCCTCACAGAAAAGCAAACTTAGGGCGTCGTACCCGTAGCGCCATCTGTTGAACTTAAATGCCTTAACCTAGATTATATATTTTAATTTATATGAATGTTTAACGGAATAATATACAGTCCACGTCCATCCTGAGATTTCATTCTGAATATTAGTGAAAGAATTTTTGAAATCGGAGATTACCTGCTGCAAACAAACTTACTTACATACATACTTAAAACATTACCTCTTTATAATATTAGTATAGATATAAGACTATACATGAACTTGTTCACCCATTTATAACTTGGCGCACAACTGAACAACAGGTCTTTTCTTGTTTTCACTGGTCTTGCACGGGGGTTGCCAGTTCGATGCAAGTGTCGATATCTCAAACTGTGTATAGTTTGCGATATCGACACTTTAGTTTAGTATTCACTAACAATTTTAATAACAATTACTAAATTTTGGAAGCTGAAATGCAAATTATTTTTATAAAAATGGCTGAAAAGGTGAGATTTGCGAAAAACAAGTGAAAAACATATTACTAGAAACGTATGATAGTAAAAACCATCATTTTATTGCGCGTAAAAATATACAAAGAACAAGTAAAACGCATGCAAACGATAGAAAATTCGAATCAGCGATTTCCGAAATTTTATCTATCAGTTTCATTATTTAGAAACATGAAAGGATGATATTTGCAAACACAAACTCTTACCACATTCGGTTCTTTCTGCAAGTTACAGAAAATTATTTCACATGCAGCCCGGCGCATAACTTTTTCTATTTCGTTGATCAGGTTTAAAGTTCGTTCATGATAAAATTTTTACTTTTCCGGCTGTTATATATAACAAAAAAAAAGTACTGTATTCCGATTGGTCAAAAAATGACTCCCAAAAATGTTTACATTACTGGACTCAGGACTCATTGAAATGTCGAGAAATTAACAAAAAATTTAGGGTTCTTTTTTGTATAAATAGATGTGTGTGTAGACTGGCAAAATTTTGTTCACCCTCTTTATAGCTTAATAACTCCCGTGCTTTCTATGGAAAATTTTTGAAATTTTGAATAAAGGTTTGAAGAGTTAAGGAAATTGATATTATTATATTCTGGTGGTTATAGGTAGAAGAGTAGGGAAATAATGGCGATCGTGTGTATGTGGAATAGGGTCGGATTTAATGACGATTTTACTCGTTATTAGCATTGAAATATTTTTAATAAAACCCATTCCTACTCTCAAAATTTCTTATTTTGCTATTTTATAATAGATAAAAATGTAAAAAATTTTAAATAAAATATAAGATGGCGTCACCATCTGTTGCCGGGAAAGTACTTGCTAGTTTTTTAGAAAGTTTTGAAATGTGAAATGACTTACGTTGTTAAAAAGTAATATCTGACTGCATTGAAGCTGCCGCCATTTCACTTTAATTTTTTTTTTTTTGCTTGCATCGCTTTGATTTAATGATGCAAAAATAATGACATAATAAGGAATTAATGATGCCTTGTCTCTTCTTCTTATTCTTCATTCTTTACCTGCTGGGAATATGTCTTGCGCATTTAATGTGCAACTTGACCTGTGAAAAAAAATTCTTTTACGCAAATTATGAATGAATTATAAAATTTAGGTCTGAAAATACTATCGTCGGTCGTAAATTCTTTGTCTTCACAGTTATTTACTAACTCCATCAGTTTTGATTTTGAAAACTTTGGCAGTTTTCACACCGATAAGCTATCAAATAACCACCACCGCCTTCGTGAACGATTCGTGAATCGTACTTATTACCTTACATCAAAGGAAGGTATTTAAACATAAATACCGTTAATAATTACATATTTAATTTCAGATTCATAAATAGAAACAACAAATGATTTACCGTGACATCGTCACAATGATAGGATGCAATTCTTCGTCACAATTACCTCAATTCTAGTAGTGTCTTGCCCCTATGTATAATATTTTCCTGTTTTCAACGGATTCGTAACGGTCATCTAGTTAACTCCGTTCAGCAGAAAATTTTTGAATTGAAACAACAAGAACTCCAGTGAAATTGATAGGTCTGCAGTTTGAAAACTGCTGTCCAATAACACAGTCTTTAGTAGCTTTATGGTTGGCTCGCAGAACATTGTTGTCGGTCCCTTAACGAAATTATATAATTTTATTAACAGATCTTATTTGTGATATTTTCTGTTTTATTTATTTATTTATTTTTAGGAATTTTTGCTTGGATAACATTATTATATTTCACGATTGGATTAATGTTTACGTATGCGGATGTAACAGGAAAGCCAGAAGCTTTAGTACGTCTAAGAATACAAAATACTAATGCCTTTCCAGTAAGCTAAATATATTTCTGTATTACTACTAAATTATATTTAATTTCTGGACTTTTTACATCATAATCGTTAGAACTATTAATAATTTTTAAAAGTTATGTATTATCTGAAAGAAAATCGCTTGTATTTTTTTAAACATAATAAAAGTTCGTTAAACCGATACCGGACAATCGGGAATGTTCGGTAATCTGGCATATTTTGGAAAGTAGTCGATAATCCGGAAATATGCGATAATTTTCTGAATATCATAAAGTGCTTGAACACGTGGTGGACTAAACAATTGAACTGGAATGAAGCGTTAATACAAAGCCGGGGGAAAATTCTATCCAAGAGTGAAATAGTAACGAAAAATGAAACAACATAAACAAAGAATATCAAATGTTAAGTTGAATAGACAATTTTATCGTTTGAACTAATTTTGTTATAAAAGAACAGTTATTTATTTTGACATTGTCACAATGCCGGGCTGTCACAGTGAACTGAAGTTTAGTAGCCTCTGGGCCTTGTGCCTAATACTTTCCCTGTTATCAATGAAGTCATGCTGGCCATGTATTTAACTTCGTCCAGGAAAAAATATTTTAATTGAAATAACGTGACCTCCGGCCCATAGCGGAAATTCATATATAATTATTCCAAGCCACATTCTCTAACCTTTCAAACTCTGCTTTCGAATTGTATTTGTCTAATATCGTTCTCGAGATTTAGGATAGACAGGCAGACAGACAGCCGGACAGCTGGACTGACGACAGTGGGAATTTATTGGTCTACAGTTTTTTCATATTGCAGCCAAAATATTTATTTCATGAACTTTAGCAACATTATAAACATAAAATTATGGCAATCTTAACAGGTAATAAATGAAAAATTTTCGGTAAAATTATTGTTATATTTGTGTAGAATATTACTTCAAAATATTCAGAAAGGGATATTTAAAGTTTTAATTAACATTTTCTTGTGTTTTGTCGGTAATATTAGTTACACTTTTAACTCATAAAAAAAATCGAGTTTTTGTTTTGTACAAGGTATGTATGGCTGTTACAGTGTGTGAGTGTATGTAGGAGCATAAGTTTCTTTTCATTTAAGCTTAACTTCTTTGCTTTTTATCGAAAATTTTTCGGGAAGGTTTGAGTATCAGGAGGATTCATGCTGTTAAATTTTGACGGCTAAAAGTCAAAGGGTGAGGAAATAGAGAGTGGTCATGGGTCATATCTCCACTAGCTCGGACTTGATGACAATTTTACTCGTTATTGGGCTGCAATTCGAAAAAAACTATACACCTATAAATTCCCACTGTCGTCCGTCTGCTTTATATCTGTTTCTCCTTAATCTCGAGAACTGTGTTAGATGAAAATTGAGACGAGATGTGGTATGAGAAAAAAGAGGCCTCAATTAACTACAGAGCAACTTCCGATCTAGACAGGACTTTACATGAAATCACTTCAAAAATGTTCCCGTGAATGTAGTTACATAGATAACAGGCACGACTTTAACGTTAACAAGAAAAATATCATGTACAGANGAATTGCTGAAACAATGCAAAACAAGTATAATTCAATAGCTTTAAAATATTATTTCTATTAATGTACTTTAATTTTAAAAAGTAAAAAACTTTCCTGTCTTATATTTTAAATTTGTGACTGGAATATTGACTGGTGTCACGCCAATTCATTTTAGATTGTAAAAGAAACTTTTAAAATCTAAAATGAATTGATTTTGACAGGTGATATCAAGTGTTTTTAATTTTTTTTCGATTCTGTTGAATCTTTTGGTAGTCCAGTGTAACTATATCTTTTCTCAGAATAATGTTTTTACACGCGTAAAATAAAATACATATGACCGAAAAAAACAATAGAATTAAAGTACATTATAATAATTTCGAAGTATTGACGATACGTACTGTACAATATCTGCAACAATTATAATGTGATATGAAAATATTCGCGGTTTTTCTGGTGAAAAGTCAGGGGTATTGTTGACGCTAATGTAAATTCCTAATTAAATTCATAATGGAAGAAAATGCTAACTTTCATTGTTATGCAAATGACGAAATATTTTCCTATCCTTGTTCACCAAAGCGTGAAAACCTATATACCCTGTATCCAAAAACACCGAAGTGTGGAATACAGGTTAAAAATCTTTGATTTATTTGAAAGTGGAAATAACGTTATCATTTTATTATAGTTTAAGTTCACTTAACTTCAACGTTGAGTAAAATATATTTAAAAAATAAATTATAGAAATTATTGGTCATGTGATCATAAAATAAACTTAGTTCATTTAAATGATTTTTCAGAATTTACTTTTGGATAACACAAGTTATTTTTAATTACAGTACGGTCGCGCGAATTCGAATCCTTGGTCATCTGAACTCTTTCTAATCCAAACAAATTCTATCATTTCTGTAACTAAAATAATACACTTGTAAACCGTACACGTAAGTCCACGTGTACAGTTTACAAGTGCATTATTTTAAACATAAATCACGTGTGGTGAGAATTGCTGATCATTCTTTCTACACCCTGATTGACTTCATAACAGTTTTAACTTCTATTTGCTGCTTTTAACTGTCTCACCGTAGTAAAAAATGGGCTAAAGTAAAGATCACATCCTCATCAATCCGAACTATCACTCGATTAGTTCGAATTAGCGCGACTGTACTGTGATTTTTTTGTTCTCTTGTAAATTAACTAATCGCTTGACTTTAATTCAGATAACACAGATAAAAATAATGTGAATGATTCAATATAAAATAATTTTATGGCAATTACTCACAAAATGATTTTTTATTGATATGTTTAAATTAAAAATAAGTTTTTTTTATTTCAGGAATTTGTTTGCTCCAGCAATAATGATTTACAATATTGTCGAGTATGCATGGAAAAAATTGTTTTTAATTTTCTGCGAAGATGATTATTATTTTCATGTTTATGGTAAATATTTTCTTATAATTTTAATTTATTTATATACAGAAACAGCTAATGACAATGTTTTGTAAACTAACCATAAAAAATAATTTTATTGTCTCTCACATTTGAATTTCAAACAGTAAATATCTATATCTATATACCTTGTATATATATACTAGCTGCAAGGACCCGCTTCTCTGGGTTTTTATTTGAATGTAATATAGTTTATATATATATATATATATATATATATATAAAAG